AATAGGTTACCTGATGTTATATAATGTAAAATGCAACATTTTGGGAATTCCGATACTTCACCTACTTTACCGCACTAGTGCGGTAAAGTGCGTGATTACGAAATTAAAATGGCAACTGTAAACTTTGACATTACATATTAATAGTAGATAAAAATCTTAATGACAAGAAAACACTAAAGATTCTAATTTCTAAACCAGTTATAATGATTTTTTTACAACTTAGTGATCAAAATTAATACAAAGCATGTATTAGATAAAAGTAAAACTTCACCCAGTGAAATAGGCTTTTCGTCATCTGATTTACATATGGATAAGCAATCTATGCAACTATGTATATCATTGGGTGTAAGACACCAACTGTGCTCTGTATAAATTTATAAAATTTCTTTACTAACGAATTAAATCCACGTTTCCGAAGTGATGTATATGTACATCCACGGATGCAACAAGTTTTTTCGATAATGATATTACGAAAATAATTTGAATTTATTTAATTATTAATTACTAAACAATAAATGACATATAAAACTTCAATAAATCCCCCCATAAAGTTCAGAATTTTGTCACCAGTTGGCGTTAAAGTCATCACGCACGGTCCCTATACGTTGCAGAATTATTTTTTTTTGATATTTATGTAATATGTAGATTCCATATTTATACACACATGTACAAAAATAAATTATAGGTACGACTGTTTTGATACATTTATAGGTTATTTTTTTTTTTTTTTTTTTCATATAGTTTTTTTTTTCAACTCACATTTTAAACTTCAACGTGAACGTCATTTTTGTGTATTTACGTCTAAGTTAACGTTGTAGTGTATCTGAGCCTGAGTGTATACCACACACAGATTCCTTTTTTGTTTTGATCCTGATCTACAAATATATCGGTATATTCCTATGTATGTTAGCTTTATACTTGTCTCATGATATGACGCCACATGGCATAATAATCCAAGGCATCTACATAAATAAATACAAGTAAATAAAATATGTGATAAGAGTACAATGATCTAAGACACTTTATTTTAAAGCAATGTTTCTTATATAAGTTCGTAACAAAGAACGTCAAACAATAATGCACAATTTGAACAAACAAGATTTGAGTAAAACCACTGCACAGGTTGCCTGATTAAAGACTGTTAGAGACTATGTCTTAGAATATTTTAAAGATTTAAAAAAAAAAAAAATACTGATGTCATGATACAAGTACCAGTTTTTTGGAAGTCTTCGGGCGGAGGCTCTATGTATGTAAGCTCTTCTTCAGAAACACAAACTACTTTAATTGTTTTTAGCTGATCGCAGATTACGTTCTTCACATTGCCTTTTCTTGTTTGCTGCGGGAAATTTGGGAATACTTAGTGTGAGCACAGCACCAGGTTTCAAATGTCTGCTGTTTATGGGCATGTATCCCAACAATATCTGCTGCATAAGCACTTCGAAGTATACAGAGCAAATACGAGCTGCAAAAAAATATCTGGTTATTGTTACGTTTGTTTAATTTATTTATAGTTAATTAAAAACACACTATTTACAATTTATTTATGACGTATCATTTAATTTATATAACACTTATGCACTATTATAACTTACAATTCTAATTTATTTATTACAATTTATCTTTTCTGTCCAACGCTTTATTCAAATCTTTAAAAAAAAAGAGCCTCGTAAAAAACAGAATTTATTTTTGTTTATGAATCGAATACAAGCAGTGAAATGTTTTTGTGTTGTAAAAATAGATAACCAAATTTTTACTATCAAACCAGTTATCTTTCCATCTGGAAGCAGGGTTTGGCGTTTGGACTCGCTGAGCAAGGAATCCTATGAATACTACTGTCGCAAAAGATTAAGCAGGTGCTGTTTAAATAATTATTATTGAAAAGTAATTCATGAGGCTAAAATCTTAAAATTATCGTACGATAGAGAGTACAATATAGTATTGGTACCAAGCATATGAGATCGTTTATGTTCAAGAAAATTTAGATATTCACCTTAAAAATTACATTTCCACAATTTGAAAATAAATAAATATTTTTATATTCCAGTTGAATCTTATTGGCGCCCTGCATTCCCGAAAACTGTTACTCCAAAAGCGTCTATTAGAAAAGCCTGAATGTGCTCATTTAATTAAAGGTAAGTAATTGTTTAGTATAAAATATAAAGAGCTAGTCAAAATTACATAATACACTCGCCCACCCAATTATTTTTATTTATTTCTGAAATTTTCGGAGATTTTCGTCACTTTTTGGCATTAATTGATATGACGTGATATTTTAAGAGTAAATAAATGTTTAACTGGCAGTGCTGTCATTCTTTCGCTTTTTATTAGTAATTTGGTTCCAATTTGGCTTCTTTAATGTAGTGTATTTACAATTTTTTTTTTCTTTATTAGACTTAATTACACTTGTTTAGTGTTGGTGTGTATTTTGTAAAATCGGTTTAAGTTAAGTTCAAAACAGTTTTATTTAAAACAATGTCATTGGGAGCAAAATCAGTAGCCAAGGCTGTAGTTCTATTTGATGAAGGTTACAGTCAACGTCGTATTGCTGGAATACTTGGTGCTGCTCGTGAAACAGTCAGAGATGCCATAAAGCGTTTTCGAGAGACAGGTTCTTACACGAGAAGGCCTGGTCGCCCTGACCAGGTCTTCGCTGCACTTCAATGAGGGACGATCGTTTTGTTGTGAGCACGATTTGAAGAGATCGGTTGTGTACCGCTGTTGAAGCCCGTACTCGTCTTGCTCAGGTTAGAAATGTGAAGGTCAGCGACACAACCATAAGAAGGAGGTTGGCAGAAAGGAATTGTATAGCGCTTACCGAGCTCCTCAGCTTCGCCCGCATCACAAAACAGCTAGACTCCATTTTGCGCGTGAATACAGTATGTGGAATATGGATTAGTGGAAAAATGTTTTATTCTCGGACGAGAGCAGAATTGCTTTAAAAGGTCCAGATGGCCGCCAGCGGGTATACAGACACCCGACAGAGCGGTTTGCTCCTTGTGCTCTAATGGAAACTGTGGGTTATTAAGGAGGCTCAATAATGATATTTGGCGGAATTTCTTACGAGGCTCGTACGGATCTGGTAATTTTTGCTAGAGACGGTGTAGATGCTCACAGGTATGTTCAAGAAGTTCTTCAAGAACATGTTATTCCTTTTGCGCCATATATTGGCGACGACTTTGTTCTTCAGCAAGACAACGCACGATGTCATGTCGCTTGAGTGGTTACACAATACCTTAACGAAGTTGGCATCAGAACTTTGTCATGGCTAGCTTGGAGTCAATCCAATTGAACACATTTGAGACAACCTAAAAAAACGGATTCGAGCACGAAGACCAGCTCCAGCTACAATTCGAGAGCTGCGGAGAAAGAATGGGAAAACATCCCACAAGCTGAGATTCAAGCCATCTTGGATACTATTCCACGCAGGCTTAGTGATGTGATCAGGACAAAGGGGGTAATACTCGTTAAAAGTGAATTTTGTTAATAACAATACTTTTTTGTCGATAAATTTCATGTTTTGCTCATCTTATTTAAAAAGTTTTTCTTTTATTTTCTAAAATTAAACAAAAATTTTCATTTGACTGGTATTTGTTTGCTTTAGCAAGATGTACTTAGACATTAAAAAGTAAAAAAAAAATCAAAATTACAAATATCTCCAACTAAATAACAAAACATTTGGTGGGCGGTTAATTCTGCCAGTGAGTGTATAAGTCATTTACAGAAGATAATTAAACGTTAAATATTACTATTATTGCAACTTAACATATTTTATTACAATAAATAAAAAGGTATAAATAACAATCAATTAAGTAATGATTTAAAGAAATATTTAGATACTGGGGTTTCTGATGTATGCGGATAGTTCACGAATTATTGTTGGAGTTGAATGGCAAATGCAAATACAGTAACAGACGAAAGCTTATTGTTTGACATTAGTGTCTGCCAATTAGCATCATTGCATCAGTTCGTATATGTTGAACTAGAAAGAGAGTCCTCTCAACATGCACAGGAGCCTTCAAAATTCTGGTGATCGAAGAAAATGTGAATTTAGTCCATGACATGGTATTAAATGACAGAATTACAGTCAAGGCTATAGCAGAGACATGTAGGTTTTCTGTTGAAAGAACTGAACAAATTTTACATGACGAATTGGGTCTCAAAAAACTCTCTGCACGTTGGTTTTCACGAATGCTGACGGCAGATCAAAAACGTTTTCACCAGGTTGCAGTGGAGATAAATTTGGAGACCATTGACAGAAATCTCGATGAATTAAAGCGAAAAAGTCTTACGATTGACGAAACATGGGTTTATCACTTTTAGATTTCAAAAAACAAAACGTGAAACGGCGGCATAGGGGTTTCCCTCCCCTCGAAAATTTCGTGTTGTCCCATCAGTTGGTAAGATCATGGCTAGAGTTTTTTGAGATTTTCGTGGATTATTTACCACGTAAGCGCACCATAACAGGTGAATATTATACGAATTTAATACCAAAAGTAAGCTAGGCGATCAAAGAAAACAGAAGAGCAAAATTGAGTCAAGGTGTGCTCTTTTACCTGGACATCGCCCCGACCCACAAAAGTTGTGTTGCAATGGCTGCCATTCACAATGCGAGATTTGAAATTTTTTAACAACCCCCTTACTCTCCAGATTTTGCCCTCAGCAACTACCATCTATTCCCAAAATTAAAAGAACGTCTTCGTGAAATCCGCTTTGCTGATGATAACGAAGTGATGGCGGTAGATGAATGGCTAGAGGCGAAACGTTCTATATTTTTTTCAAAAGGGTTTAAAATACTTCAACACCGGTATACCAAGTGTATAAACGTTGAAGGTAAATATTATGTTGAAAAATAAATTAGTTTCATTCTTCTCATATGTTTGCTTCTGTTAGGAACAATAATTCTTGAACTATCCTCGTAATATGTATATTTTATACCTTAGTACTATTCTTTTTATAAAATATGTAAAGCGAAACTAAGAACAAAAGAGTTGATAGGTATACTTTTATTATAAAATGTGACCATTTAACAGAATTTCCAGTTTCCTTATTAAAATTTTTAAAACTAATTTTTTGAAATCTTTGATTTAAATTTTTACACACTTCTTGACGTTATTTCATTTAATTTACTTTCTAAAGCGTTTATTCTTCTACTAACTTCTCTAATACCTGCTGACAAATCGTCCTTTTTACTAAATAATTCATTGATTAAATTTTTTAATTCTGTAATTTCGTTCTGCTTAACCATTTCTTTAAAATTTTCTTTAGAGAGAGATTTATTGTATTCCGATATAATTACACTGACACCAGTGGCGAACATAAGCCCTTCTCCTATTAAGTTTGCACCCAGATCTATTGCCACAGCTTCTTTCAAAGGTGGTACACTAACTGATTTGCCCAAATTTAAAATCCACATATTAGTTTTAACTTCACACCAATTATATAAGTTAGCAGGGGGCATACACACATATGATCTGAATAGAGATGAATTTTTTGCATGATTCCTTATTGCATGTGCCAAAGGTTTATTTATAAGTTTTAGAATTATTAATCCCAATTTTGCTACTGGAAATGCATGCGGAACCATTGCATGAGGGACCAATGGATTATGGAAAATAAATCATTTTTAACAAATGTCAATTTTTAAGGTTATAAAAATAATATGCTCTCAGATAAACAAATGGAATATGGATAAGTAACAATCTGAGTTGTTTGAAGCCAGTATTTACCCTTTACTCTATAACTTTCTTTTTCTCTTGGCACTTTGATGGTATTCGTCTATTTTAAATAGCAACGCCAAAATTTAGTCACAACTATCAGCTAGGGAATTGTCAGTTTTGTTTGTACATTTTGTGTGATTTTAATTTTAAATAGTAACTTTTTTAACGAATTTAATTAGTTGTAAGTCTACAAATTACTATTTAATGTTCCACGTTATTTTAAACTCCGATCAATTTATTCTAGAGGGAGCGTGAAACGAGTTTGTAGGCTATTGTTGTGTTCGCAACATCTGAGGCGATTTTAAATCAGATACAACAGGTTTGTTCCAACATAAACCAAATCAGTTTGCGTACTGTCGGGATTCTGCGCAGTCTAGAATTTGTGTTCCAACAAACCTTAGACTCGAAACTGTACAAATACATAGTGTTCCAACACAACCAAAACTAATCACAAACCGATTTGTGTACTGTCAAATCAATTACTGGGTCTGAATAGGAACGAATTGTCAAGACATGCGCAAAGCCGCAATAAACTAAACATATCGTGATTGTAATTATATTATTTGTAACTATTGTCTCTGACTGTTCTGATCTGTATTTGTTAATCGAGTTTACTCTTTATAGTTTTTGTTCATGGTCATTTATTTTATTTTGTGGTTTATTATTGTAATAATGCGTCTGTTGAATTTAAAAAATGTGTTCCAACATAATCGACTTCCGAGTTGAGTCCCAATCCCCGACCAGTACCTGACAAGTTGTCAATTACTAGTCATCGACATATTGTCAACAATAAGTTTTGGACTGGTTTATGTATTGTTCCAAGATCGTTGTTGGAACAAACCTAACGTCTTGCATATGATTGACTACACTAACATAAATCAAAAACAATGACGTCATATTGAATTATGTCTTGAAATGGAAAGTTTAACGTGACTACAGTAAAAACGTGGTCATCACAGGTATGAAATATATAAAATGTCAAATAAAATTACAAATATAAAACTTCATAGTAAACAAAGACATTATGTCTTTGATAGTAAAACGTTTACTTTTTAATTATTACATTATTGTTTGGTTTCGTTATTTGTAAAATAGAAAGAAAGTCTGAGTATAGGGTTGCCAGATTTACGAAAGGGAAAAGTGGAACAATGGTCATTTTAAAAAACAGGTATTTTTATAAAATAAGTTTCTTTATGGAGATCTAGGCATATGTTACTAATGCAATAAGTTTTCCGACTTATTGTAATATTACAAAATATAATTATTGTCCTTAAATTTCACACAAAAACAGCCACAACTATTTCGCTTAGTTCATCTAGAGGATAGTAAAATCATGAACTCAAAATTTAAAATTTAAATTCAGGATTCTTCGATATACATAAGACTGACATTTATATTTACAAACTGACTACTGCTGTCCACGTCTACTATCTGTCTCAGTGTTGCCAACCGTACGATTTAAATCGTATTTATACGATTTTTTAACTCTCTGTACGATGTACGATTATATCAGTGAGATTGTACGTAAAAATACGATCTTCACTTTTTAGTAGATTTATTTAAATATCTGCAACAACTTCAGAATATAAAACAATAATCAAAAACTACTTGCAAAGATTCATAGGCCGTTCGTAATTTCTGAAGGCAGTCATTTTCTTTCTGACTTATAGTGATTTTGACCATTGTGATTTTGTACATCGAATATCACGGCATAAGAAAAGCTTGCATACAAAATTTCAATCACTTTCAAGTTACAGTCATTAATTACTTTAAATGTGTTAATTTAAAGTTTCATGTATTTTCTCAAGTTTTTTTTCATGGTAAACATTTCTATAAATAGATAAATAAATTATCATGTCAAAGCTTTTTTTTATTCAATTTTATTATGCTATACATGTATCTATTGTACAATTTTTTTGTTGAAATACCATTTTTCTACTCTACTTGTACGATCTCTCAAAAAAAATATTTGGCAACACTGGTCTCTCTACAAACGACGTAGACCTGTAGTTAACATCTGAGACGCTAGATGACGCCATCGTTGCTGCGGTCGTTGCGTTTCCAATCTTTATGTCCCCTATCTCTGATAAATATATTCCTAGAATAAGTAGATAACATGCCTTTTGATATTTTTTATAACCTGTAAGCAATACACATACTTTGATTACTATACGAGGCAAGAGAGAGGTCCGACACGCCCAACATAGGGCGCGGCCATTTTGAACCCTGTGACACAGTTTACAGCTAAAGAATCAGATCGCTCACTCTGCGTTGGCACTTTGGATTTCAATGTTTCAGTTTATACACTGTGCAACTCGGATAATACAATATATGACAACCGCCTATAATAAAACAGCAGTCTTCTGCGTATCCTGAATTTGTATCCCTAAAGTGGATGTTATTTTGGAACTTTCAACTGGTCCGAGTGAGCTAACTGATTCTTTAGCAATAAACTGTGACTTCAAAAATAATATTCACTGACACTGACAGCAGCAAGCAAAATATCAGGTGCGTTTTAATCATCCGCTTCTGCTTCCGGAATTGTCGGTTTAGTCGTTTTAACCTGTCAGATTAAAATAAGAAAACTGACAATTCCGAAGCAGAAACGGATGATTAAAACGCACCTATTAAAAATATTGCGCCAAAATGTAGGCAACACGTAATAAGGGTTCAAAATGGCGGAGTTTTCTATCTCCTTTTAAAAGGCACTTAGAAAGCTGCGCAGTGCGACCATTCTCCGTATAGTAAAAGAAAATCAAAGTATGTGAAGCAATATGTAGAAATAAACTAAAAACAGTAAAAACGTATATATCAAATTTGTTTTGGTTTTAGTTAAAAGTTTGGTTAGAATTAAATGTCAGTGGAACCAAAATGACATCACAACGAACTAGCGTATTATGTTGCCAATTTTTTAAGTGCCTGTATTTGATCAAATATCGGAAAATCGATAACACTATCAATGGTAATGTACGGCAATCGAGTGTCAATTTCATAAAAATTATTTATTTCGTTTCCTAAACATTTCTTTTACATTTAATTTCCAGCCATATCCGCCAATTTGTACATTCATTTTGATTGAATTGTAGTACATATTGACTAAATATTAATAATGCATCATCTCTAAAATACTTTTCGTTAACTTATAAACTTAATTACTTTGTGTAATCCAAAAGGTTTTAAACTTTTTTAGAATATGAAATTTATCTTATTATGCATTGTCAACCAGCGCCTTTAACAATTAAAGAGGATAGCTAAATTCGTTTAATTTCTGTTGAGTCAGCCGTGACGTGACGTCACTCCTTCGATGCTTTCAACGGTTAAGCCTGAATAAATATATACATCGATATAAAACACCTTTCTTATTCTAATTATTTTTAAACTAAAAGGTATTTCAGATATTCAAAATACCATTTTAATCAGAGAAAAAATTAAATATATCCCAAAATTACAGAAGTAAGTAAAATAGGTATAGGCATCGCAACCAAATTTGTCTGAAGAGGGGATGCGCATTAATCTCGAATTTCAATTGTCAACGCCTATTGTAACTGTTAAAGAGAGATGCAAACAATAGCCGTGTTGTTGGGGGTGTTCAGTAGATGATAATATTTTCTTGAATTTGTGTTTGTGTAGCGTGCAGATTTTGAGTTATATTTTATGTTCATTTGTTTGTAGTGTATTCTTTGGAGTAGTGACTTACTTGTGTTAAAATGTCGAAACATTTAGGTAGTCAAGCAAAGGAAATAATATTTCATTTATTCGAATATTAAAAAAAAATGTTCATCGGCAACAAATAGATTTGAAAAAAAAAACAACGATGATTTTGAAACTTATAGACAATGTGTTGTGAACGATGATCCCAAAACTCTCATTAAAATTAAAGAATAAGTTGCTGAAGCTACAGGATACTCGGTAAAAACAATTAAACGAATAATTATGGAAGGTGAGATAACAAAAGGTTAAAAGTCTACGTCGACCATACCTAAACAATTGTTTAATAGTCCAAAAAAACGCAAAAGAATATCAGGTGTAACAGATATTCCATCCTACAATATTGGAACAATCAGAGATATAGTTCATAGATTTCAGGAAACAGAAGATATGCGCGTAACAATTAAAACTCTTAGTAAAAAATGAAGGAAATTGAGTGAAAAGGGAGCTACACATCATTAAGAACTATAAAAAAAATTGGGTTCAAGTGGCGAAAAACGCTAAACAACAGACAGGTTCTAATAGAACGGCTTGACATCAGGGAAAGAAGAAAAATAATATATTAAAAAAATTAGATATTTTCGTTCTCAAAATCGTCCCCTTGTATACAGGGTGGGCCACTTAAAAGTTCCACCCCCCTACTTCTCGTTATTCATTGAGATATCGGAATCTTTTTTATTTCGTTTGAAAAAGTGGAACAAATACTTTCTTATGAAGGATTCAATCATGACGTCACTGCTTTCCGGTTTTTCCGGAAGTAACAGAAAATCGCAATTTATTTTTTATTTTTAAATTGAAGCCCACTTTTTTTTGTAAATTTGAATTTCTGGGACATTTTTGTATAATAATCGTGTATTGAATTTTTTTTGACAGCTGTCAAAATGGCCGCCATATTGGATCATATTTTTTCTAAACATGTTACTATTAATTCATTTATGGAAAAAAATATGGGATTGTATGATCTTTATAAAATCTTTGAGGGTTTTAAAATTCCCATTGAGACCCATTTTCCGTATACCAGTGGCGTATCTAAGCATTTTTACTCTAAGCAAACCGTTTAATAATTCTATCCTCTTTTATCTTCGTTGTTAATTAAGATATTGGAATAAAAACTTTTTTTTTAAAAACTTATAATAGATACTTTCATATACTGGATCCAATTAGTCTATGACGTCATGGCTTACTTCCGATTTTTCCGGATATAACTGAAAATCGCCATTTATTTTTTAATTTAAAATCAAAACCCCTCTTTCATTTAAAATTTGAATTTCTGGGACATTTTTGGATAAAAAGCGTATATTAAAAATTTTCTGTCAGCTCTCAAATTGGCCGCCATTTTGGATAATATTTGTTAGATACTATTAAAAAATATGGGAATGTATGATCTTTATAAAATCATTGTAAGCTTCAAAA